ACACACGCTTAATTGTGAGGATGTCCTTCCTCTTGTTAGTGTTTGAATCAGTCCAACTGTTGATGAGAGACATTGTCCAAATCGTGCTACTGTAAAAATTTACAGCCATGACCATAGTATTATGGTAGAGCCAAGTTAAGACTCCCAGATGTCGTCTCCTCACATTTCCCAGCATTAGCCAGGAATGGCACAATCATATTCCTGATGAGCAGAGATGCAGTAGTTGATGTGGCCAAGGGACTTCTACTGGACTGCCCTAAGAAGAGATGAGGACTACAGTGCAAGCCATAAGTGAGAAAGTTTATTCAAGTGTCCTCTGTCATATCTGGCCATTTCTATAAATTATATGAAAAGGGGCTGATGATGAAAGTAGAATGGAAATGTGAAAAATAAGGAAATGTGTGAAATCAGTGGCTCCTTGACCTTGCCAAATGGTTGAGTATGTTATGTACTAGTGTCTGTTGATCAAAGCTGCAGTGTTCAGATGTCAAGAACTGAAACTAGAGACTAGGGTCAAAAAAAGTTTCATGCTCTTGTATGAGGAACAAATTTCACAAGCTATCTCCCTTTGCTGTATCACAAATAACTACAGTCCTGACTTTTAGCTCATTGGGGCACCAAATTTCAGGGACAGTTTCAAATCTGGGAAGCCAGATGTGCTCCTCCTAATCTCTGCTGCCCGAAGCCTATCTGTAATCCTGCTCCAAGGAGCCAATTAAAGAAAATGTTTTGGGGAGCAGGAATGAAACAAGCAAGTTGAAATAGCCAAATTAGAGAACATTGAAATAGCCAGACTAGAGAACATACTGATGGCATTAACCTTTAAAAATATCTGAACTGCTTTCTGTAGGGAGCACAGACAATTTTAACTGCTGGCAGGAAGCAGTGATGACAAATCCCCTGCATTACTCCCTGTGCTGCAGACAGTGTCCTGAAAGGGGTAGGCCCTGGTTCACTTGCAGTCCTGGTAAACAAGGCAACTGGGAAATAGATTAACAGCTCTTTCTAAAGCCGGACCATGTTCTAGTATGGGTTCCTGGAGAGTTCTGTACATACAGTTCTTGCAGAACCCATTTACATCGATTACAAGAGGGAGTCTAATTCTGCTCGCTTAGTGAGTGCTGTATTCATCTTTAAGCTCTCTTGGAAAAGCAGCATGGTAGAGCTTAGTGGGAAACAGTAAACAAAACTTAGCATGCAGCAGCTAATGTAACTACCTTTGGAGCAAAGAGGAGCAGGTGCTCTTCTGGCCAGTAGCCACAGTTCGAAGCCTTACCGCATACGTTTCAGTGAGGAGACTGCTGGCAACTGATCAGCGGATTTGTCCAAGGCTGACATCTCTTATCTGCAGGGCAGCTGGCTTGCATGTGAGTTTATAACTACGCTCAGGACAGCTGATGGGGGTTAGAAACCTTGTTGCAGTAACATCTGTGGTTTTGACATTTTGCTTTTTCTTCTATCTTTAATCCAGAGCATTTTCACAACAATGTCAGGAGATAGACAGTTTGTATAAGAGTAGGTGAATTTGATGCTGGCTGGTCTAAATTCCTGCTCAGTTTGTCATAGAAGAGACTTTAATCAAGTTCTGCCATATCTCAGGTCTTGAAACCATAAGACTTGCGTTGGATTTGCCCAAGTACCTGAGGCTAAACTAAGGTGTGTCGCTCTGAAGGGGGAAGTCCTGTCCTCTCCACCCTTGCTTTGCCATCTTTTGGCCTCTTACCTGGCATGCCCAGCCAGTTTGGCTCACTGATACACCAGGAAGCTATCACTTTGGTTTGAAGGCTTTGTCTGCAGTCCAATGAGCTTGCTGCCACAGCTTAGAGCAGGAATGAGAAGTCAACAGGACAGGGAAGGGCCAGAATGCCTTTTTCTCAGCAGTAATGCTGGTTTAAATCAGCCTAAGCTGCTTGGTAAACCACACCCAGAAATAGTTTAAAACCCTATAAAGGTTTGACTTCAGTATTTGTTTTAGCTAACAAATCATTTCTACAAGCTCTGGTAAAACTGTTGTCCAGATGTCAGTGCTTCTTGGCAGAAAAGACATTTTAAAGAGATCACAGTAAACTAAAACAGTCCTCTACCCACTTCTAGGGAACTAGCAACTATTCCAGAAACACTGGCAAGTGTGAGATGGTAAAGCCTGTACCCTGCGGGATGGTTAACCAGAAAAGCCAGCCCTAAGCACCAATTACATCTGCTCCACTGTGGAGGAGAGGGCAGCATGGCAAATACCCCCTGTGGGATTCAGCTCTCCTGACTCACGGCCATCCCTGAAGTACTAGGAATAGTCTTTTGTTTTGCTCCCATTAGCAAATGAAGAGTGACATCCACAGCCCTTTCCTTCTCTCAAGCTCTGTCTGGGTACAGCTAATTCTGGTCCATCTCGTGATGAAGGAAATGTTACTACTGAAGCAAGGATAAGGGAGTTTGCTTCTCCTGCCTGTGCCACAGGATTCCTGTGGCATTGCTGAAGTTGCAGAGTCCATCCTTGACTCATCCCTCTGCAGTGCACAGGCAGATAATAGTACTACCCTGCCTGCGAGGGCTGGACTGAGGCTCAGCACAGTGAGTGTTTCTAAAACTGGTTGTAGTCTCAGTGCCACAGACCTCTACACCTTCACACTGCTTTGGCTAGACTTCTTAGAGATTACAGGGCATGTTGTGGTCCTACAGCATTGTCACAGAGATGCAGATGTGGGCTTTACATGCAGGAACAAAACAAAACATTAGCTGGAGATGTTGATCAGAAGACACAGAACATGAAGAAGAAATACAGTACTACTTACGATTAAACATTTCTGAGTAAAGCTCATCTGTGTGCCATTTCACCCCTTTAATCTTTTTTATTATGCTCAAGCAGGTATTTTTAGTCTATTGGCATTTGGATTTGTTACTTTCAGTCAGAAAAGAAGGGGGAAAACCCCTGATTTTACAGCAGCTGCTGTAAATGCTTCTTAAACCAACATAATGAGCAAATGGAATTAAAAATCAAAGTACTGTTACAAAGCAAGGTTCACTCTTCCGTTGCTTGTGCACCAAATATTACTGGTGGTTTCAAGACCTCAGTCTAGATCACTGCCTGGGAAAGCATTAAAAAAACAAACCAACAAACCTTACTGATTCTGTAAGTGAATCAGAAAGCACTTTCCCAAGTATTTTAATAAACCCTGATGCATGTAAAGGATGCTCTGTGATCCCCATTAATTTAGGAGGGCTTTGGGAATCTGTATTTGAATTTTTTCCTCTTCTTCACCTATAAAGCAAATGTAAATAAGTAGGAAGGACTGGGCTGTGCTGTGGGGAAAAACTGTTAAGTTTAGGACAAGCAAGGGATCTGTCATCACTTCAGGGGTGGGTAACATTGGCTTTCACACACCCACTTCCAAAGTGCAGAGGTATGACTTTTGCCTTTTCAGCAGTAAAGAAAATATACCAGCTAGGATCTGAAATACCTTTGCATTGACTTAGAAGACAAAAAGTAGTTTTCCCTGTCTGAAATGGAAAGGAAAAGAAGCAAAAATTACTTCAAGTGAAAAATTAAAGACAGGTGAGAAGGGCAAAATGTCAGCAAGCAAGTTTCTCACAGAAAACAGTTCTTCCAGGCTTTTGGTTAAGCATTTGCCTATTTGAACAAACTGCTTTTTTCTTTCTTTTCTTTTTTAGAGGTTTTTGGTTTGTTGGGGTTTTTTTGTCCCTAAGTGTTTAAGGGTGTTTTGTTCAAACTGTTCAAAGCTAGCCCTCGAGTAGTTGAGTAAAGATAAAAACGAACAACAGAACGTGTGTAGTGCTAAGCAGAGGAGTCACCCAATCAGCCTGTGTGAAGATTCTTCACAGTACTTTGAAGTATTTTAAGCACTGGTAGGAAAAAACACTGAATACTCTTGCAGTCTGAACTAAGAAGCCTGTATTTTGAAGATTTTGTTGGAAGCAAAGATATTCTTGGAGGAAATAATCTATGGGCACTTCCTTTCCTGATCTTATTTTCCCCTTGTAAGATTTTCACTAAGTATTTATCAATAGTCTTAGTGCAGGAGTGGGACTGCAGTCCCACGTTCTGAAGCCTCTGTGCTGTGTTTCTGTAAAGAAACAGGAACCTACCATTTTGATTCCCCCAGAAGAGATGTTTTTCCAGTGTCATCACATGCAGCTTCCAAAGGTGCCCACTGGAATTTGATGAGTTTCTAAAAGTAGATACCCAAACTGCCTTCTGACAGCATCAACAACCAGACGTACAAAGTGGTGACCATCTCTGACCTCTTCCTGGCTATATCAGTTTGCTTATCAGCAGCTCTGAGAGAACAACATGCATGTCTCTCAGTAAGGACTGCCGTAAGGGGGCTACCAGTAGATGTCTGGAGCTGGCAGACAGAGACGCAGATGCTGTAACTGGCAATCCAGCATAGACACAGATAAGAAAGTTCAGATTTGTCAACATGGAGGAACAGGGGGTGGGAGGGTGGTATGGGGCTTTCTGAGGGCATCCTCAAAAAACTCTAATGTGGTATGATACATGCCAGCTCAGAGATCCTTGTAATTCCAATTACCGCATAGAAGAGAGATTGCAAGGGAATACAGAGAGATGCAACTGTGCAAACCCCTGTTTGTCATGTCAGTTATAAGCAAGCTGCACCTTGTGGTGGAAAGATGCTCCAGCCACTTCTCAAACAAGTTGTACTCTAAGTTAGTGCAGTCCAAGATCCAAGACTAGCTTCAGTGCTTGCTTTCTCACTCTCAAATGTTAGAACATTATTTGCTGCCGCTTCTATCCTAAAAGCCATCCAGACTAAAACTGCAGGTGCTGCACTTCAGTATGAATCATAGCATAAATATCACCACAGTCACTGCTCATCACAAACAGGTTTATTTCAAAATGACCATTGCAACATGCCTCCTTTCTTTGGCTGTCTTACAATCCTTCCTCAACTCCTGCCAGCACACTTGCCGCTGGGAGGTGAAAGAGATGGTCTTTTTTCACCCCCACCCCCCCCCCCCCCCCCGTCACCTTTGGAGGTACAAGCTGCTCAATTCACCTCTAAAAGGAGGTGAGAAGTCTCTCATTTGACCATTCTCTAAGATAAACAAATGTGGTGATTTCACAGAGTCAGGGTTTTTTGCAACATAACCACATATTTGTTAGACCTGATTTCCTGCACAGCCTGTGTGCAATGCATTCTGGTAGAATATGGGGTGGTATTTGGTGTGGGGAGACAGTCAAGTGGCCTGTTGCACTGGCTTAAGTTTCTGCCTGGGGACACTGCATTACACGATCACCAACCACAAAGTACAATGTGCCCTGACCCAATCTCCTTCCCTCACTTCATGTCCATGTGTACAGGGACTCCTGTAGAGATACAAGACATTGCAGTGTATAGCTCTGTGCCTGAACAGGAGGGACATATCTCTCATCAGTGAACCTATAGTCGTCCCAGGGCCCCTTTGCAACATCATGCCTTCAGGCAACCTGCCAGTCAGGGTAAGAATCCAATAAACAAGGACACAAATCAAAAAACAATGTTGTGACCTATTTAATGGGAAAAGGACTATGTCGACCCAAGCTACTGGCAAAACTTGTTTAATTGCTATAGCTGCTAGCCAAGTAAGTCATGTGCGGACACATGCCTTTGAAGTCACCACACTAGCAGGGCCCCTGCAAAATACGCTTAAATGTCTCTAAATATTTGGCTGGGTGGGAATGTAGTTAGGCACACACTACTTCTGCAGCAGAAAAAGAGCCTAGGAATTGTTTCATCATTCAAAGGGAAAACATAATGCCTTTCTCTGTCCAGCAGTTTGGGTGCTGCACCCATCATATTAGTGAGTGTGAATTTACCTTGCTCTGCTCAGGCTCCATACTGAAGAAGGCCATATAGAGGAGATCATCCTCCACATCATTTTCTGTTTCATGCTGTCCTTTCAGTTACCCTTTCTATGTAGATAGATAGCTGGGCTTTTCTGTCGTGGCAAACAACTGGAGAAGAAAGAAAGAGCCTGCAGGGATATTTACAGCACAGGGGATAGATTTTTTTAGTCAAAGGCAGGGGGAGGGCATGCAGGGAGGCAAACCACACACATCCATTCAAGCCTCAGGAAGCTCAGAAGAAATCAAGTTCTTCAAGTGGCAGCAGAAAACCAGAAAACCCTACAGAGGCTGTCAGACAAGAAAGCATATAAAGCAAGGTTCAAAGGCAAGAGAAAAGAAGAGTGTAACAAAGGTCTATGTAAAACAGCAGCTATAATCTTCTGCTCTCATCCTGCCAGTTTCCATGTACAAGTAATGTGAATGACTGCTAACCTCATGTGTGAGTGGTGTTGCTCCAACAACACTGCCTAAAGAAAATGTTCAGCTCATGGTCAGAACCTTCTCCTTCCCACATGCAAGTCCAAATAACTTCTGAAGAAAGAAAAAAAAACAAAAGGAGGGTTTGGAAGAGAAAGAGAAGCATCTCTTTAGCATGGAACACACTGTGCACAAAAAGTAACACTACCAGCATCGATTCTTCACATTCAAGCACTCAGTCTGGACAGAGATGTAAACAGCTATGAAATAGGTTGTAACACTTGTACAGGTTGGAACAAACCATTAATGATCCTCATACTCTGCGCTCCAGAGAGCAATACCTGCAAAAACTGCCACATGAGCCTCACAGCAGCTCTGGGGCAGGGAGATAATTTACTCTCAGTTCCACCTGGCCTCTGCAACATACTAGTTGGTTATACGTCTCTTAGAAAGTCACTAATTTCTCAAGTTAGGTGTCAAAAACATTAGGTTACTCTCCATTTAGTCTTATGAGAAATGTGGCCTTCAATTGTACACTCTTCAAAACACACTTTGTTCAGTAAGACTGCATATGTGTGCCCTATAATTATTTATCTTTTATCTTACAGTCTTCATGAAATCTAATGTTGAGAAAAAAATTGAGGCAACAAAAGAGTTAGTGTTATCGGGTATTCCCTGAGCAAAAATAATTAATTGTGCCCTCTCACTGAAGTAGACAGCTTAGATGATTAGGGATCAGCTCTGCAAACATTTAAAGGTGTGTAAGCTTATTCAGGTGAGTGAATTCACAGAATTACATGAAACCATCCCTGTGGATAATATTACATGGCATGGGTTTTCGCTTTCTTCATAACTGGGGTGGCTGGAGGCTCCTGACAAGTGTTTTAGAAGTGGCATCTATAGAAAAGGGGAAGGTTTCTGTTTTTAAAATTTGTATTAAATAATGGATCCTTCATGCAATATGTTGAGATTTAGTGCTGATCATTTCTGTCTAATTGCTTTTCTAAGATGTTTGGTTAGAAAAATTATTGATGTTTATTACCATTGTTGGCTTCTGCTACCAGAAATCGGTACACTGTTACATCATACTCGACAGTTGCAGGGTGTTCAATCTTTACAATGATTTCACTCACCCCAAAAGACTTTACACAAGCAAAACCAGAAAAGTCAAACAGGAAAGAAAAACTCATCCTGCCTTTGCCTCCTCCTTTGTCTGTGGTCTGCCTGCTTACAGTGCAAAGGCTTGGTCTCCCTACCCAAGGATACTGCACTGCCCTTTCACTTCAGCACATGAAATCTAACAAAAGAATTGCAGGTAGGAATGCGCTCCCACTTGCTCTTCATAGCTGAGATTCATCATTTCAAGAATCTGTTTATCTGTCTTCAGCAGTGACACAGAGGTAGCTATAGGATCTTCTGCAAGTAAATAAAAGAACCAGCTGTGACGACCGCTGGGCAACATGGATGGCAGAAAAATGTTGGGAGGGCAAAACCTATGAATTCTCATTATTGCTGGATCTCTCTTTTGTCTCCAGCTGCTCCTTTCCTCTTTGTACCTATTCCCATCTCTGCTGAGCTATGCTACAGACAGTCCAGAGCTGAACTTGCTCAAGCTAACGAACACCAGCAACTGACAAGCACTGCCATGTGGCAGCTGTGGTCTACCTGGCTTTCCCACAGCGGAGGCTCTGGTTTGGTTTGGTTTGTATGTCTTCTCTTCTACTAAACTGCTGCCTTCCAGGCAAGTTGGAGAGGACTTCTCCCTTTCACACACAATGTGCTCAAAAGATACATGAGGAGGGAAATAGACACATGGATGATTTGATGCCTTAGGTCTCATATTCTTAATGTAAAAAAAAAAAAACAGAAGATACTGATGGTCTGACTAAGGAACGGCAAGTGTGGTTTTTTCTGCATTGCCTAGCTAGCAAAACTCTTAATGTCACTCTGAATTCAGCCTACGTAAGGGTGCGTTTCGCTATGATTCACACAAAACTGAGTATTTTCTTGTCTTTCCAAAACAGGAAAATGGAAAAAAATAGTTGTGCTGAATTTCTGCATGCACTCCCTGTTTATAAGAAGCTGCTGCTTTGTGGCACACTTAGCAATATAGTGAGAAAAACACTTGGGGTTAGTAAATTTAAAAAGCTGATTGAAAAGCGTGAGGTAACCCTGGCTGTTCCCAGAACCAGTGGGAGGGAGGAATGGAGTGGAAACACAGGGGAAAATAACAGGCAATAGGCAGGTGACATTTGTGCACCCGCATATGCAGGTATGTAATTCCAAGTAAGTATCCAAAGGTGAGAAGAAGATCATTCAGGGACCTGAGGATAAAACTTTTCTCTTATGATATATCGCACCTACTTAGCATCCATAGTCACCCACAGCCCCACTATCTGCAGTATTATCAGAAAAAAAAAAACACCACTGCACATGCAGCTGGGTTTCTATGAATGTACCTTTGCTGTAGTATGTGAGAACAAGTAACCAGCATCCTCCTTAATTCCTCTGCTTGAGGAGGAGAACTCCAACAACTCAGCCAAGACCTCACTGTATCATGATATTTCCAGTCTGTTGTTTTCTGCTCCAGGCCTGTAGTTAGTTCAGGCTGCATAATTGTATCTAAACTGATGAAATACAAACATAGGTGATGAATTCTTGTAGTCTTCCCAGTGCTGTGCATGAAACAAATGGTTTTGGGCCTTTTTCAAAGAACGCACTAACATTTTACCTTAGAAGAAAAAAATAAATAAAAGAAAAAGGAAAGGAAAACAAAAAAGGAAGAAAAAAGAAAAATAATCTGAGAATCTGCTTTCATCTTCCACCCCTAAAGATTAGGCAGCCCTGCAGTGACACATACATTGATTTGTTATCCCAGTGAATTTGTTTTCCTCAGACAGGCTTTAGCTAGGAAAATATATAGGAAAGCATCCTGACAGCTGTGTGGAGATTTCACAGAGACACCAGTCCCAGATTATTTTCAGGATTGATCTCCCACTCCCTCACAGGATTTACCTAAGGATAAAACATTGTTAGTTAATGTTTGTGGAAGAGGAAGGCATTCAATCAAGGCAAAGCATCCAAGTTAGTATTGATACCATGACAGTGAGGTATTTTATTATCTCCTTTTCATTTTGTTCTGATTATCTTCACTCCAGATCTAGTTGAAAACATACAATGGGCATTAACAGGGTATCTAGGGTGGCTGCTGCTCTCTGCTTCTCTCAAAGGATAGTGATAAGGTTAGGCTGACACTTAATGAAAACACATGCTACAAAGTGAATGGTCTTGCTGATACAAGTTGGGTGCAGAAGGGAGGATGAGCTTGCTTTTGCTCTTTTTTGTTTTGAAAAAATTGAGGGATGAAAGAGCACTATAAAGGACAATGAACTGACCTGATGGGTGGAAAAGAAAAAGCCAGGGAAAATACTGAGAATTCTCACATATTCTACTCAGGCCAACTATCAGTCACTTCTGGCAACTCTGCCCTTTGTTTGTCTTCATTTTCACTCTGCATGAGGAGTCATCAGCACCCAGCTTTTGTCACATGAGGAAAGGTTAAGAGAAAGACCACTGGCGGCAGAGAGGCCGGCAGCTGAGGAAGTGGACTTCTACCTTGAGTTTACTCCTGGAGAAGCAAACAACCTTGGTGGCACTAGGTTTGTACGGGATTACCTGCAAGGTAGAAAATATCCCGAAGTCCAGGTGAAAAGGGCACAGCCAGAGCTAAAACATGCAGACATATCCATGGTAGCTATTCTGGTATCACTTAAAAACAAGTGCATATTGATTCCTGTTTAAAAGCAAACACGGAAAGCAAGCCAGTTGTCTGAATCTCAGCTGGATTCTGCCACATTTTCTTGGCTTGTCTTTCAGTGAGCAGTAAAGAAGAGGAAAAAAGTTTTCTATGTGGAATTAGAAACCTTTCTAGCTAGCTCAACCAAGTCTGATACGGTATTTGATAAGAGAATTCTGCAGTTTTAGCTTCAACTACTGCTTCGAAGGGAGAAATTTTTAATACTATTAAGAAGGAACGTTTTAATTTAAATTATCGTAGTACACTAAATCCAGTACATCACTAAAGCATGTTTTTCCAGGAATAGTTTACCCCTCTTTCTAGGCATGTTCAGGTACATTCCATGATTGGTTTAGGACAGTACAAATTCAGCCCACTGAACAATAAATGAAACAGCATGTGTGATGCTATATTTGAGTTACTGAGGGCCTGTGTAAACTTGGATTGAAACCTGAAGCAAGGAAAGCCTCTGTCCGCAAAGACGGTAGCTGGAGCAGCCTGCATTCACCCAGGCAAACTTAACTCCCATGATGCAGGGGGGACATAGCTAGTGGCTCCTATGCCCCCCAGCATGGCTGCTCCAACCTGTGCCAACTAAAGAAAGCTAAAAAGAAGCCCTAACTGCTCTCCCTCAAACACAGGCTGTGTTTTGAACAGTTATTTGTTCAGTGAAACACAAAATACTGGGAAAAAAAAAAAAAAAAGAAGTTAACTGGGACTGGGGGAGAGAAAGTAGCCAGTGCTGTGCTTGGGTTGCAGTGTGTGCTTAGCTGTCTGCTCTTCATGCTAATGGGAGGTGTTTCGATGCTAGCAGGGGCAGGGGAGCAGAAGGCAACTCTGGCACACAGCATTGTGACAGACCCTGGGCAAAGGGCCTTCAGCACCACCTTTCCAGTAGTGGGCAAAAGTCAGATTTTTGAATATAATCATGGGTATTGTAGGTAATGAGTTGGTTGCAAGCAGTGTGTGAAGCAGTTTATTTGGTTGATACCTGAAACTCTTACTTACAACAATACTGCTTAGGGAGGGAGGAATCTGCAAGTAAAGGATGCTGACATGTGAATGGTAAGGCTTGGACCTGAGCAGGCCCAAATATTAGGCAGCTGGGCCACAGTCCATCATAGTTCTATGCTACCATAGACACCACAGTGATCACCACATGCCAGCCCACTTTTCTAGCACTGTATGAGCACACACAAAGAGACTGCCTACTACAAGGGGAGGAAGACTCTGGTGACAGGGATGAGAAGTAATCATACAAATGTTGTGTCTCGCTGTGCCCTTCTGCAAGCCTAAGGGTAAAGTCTAGCAAACTCCCTATGGATGTTCCCATATGGAGCAAGAGGAAATTGCGTAAGCTTATAAATTACATAAACTTATAGCTGCCATGAGACAAGTCAGAGACACAACATTCATCTCTGCAGCTGCTGCACTATGTATGGCCTTTTCATGGAGTCATCACGGCACTGCCACGACGTGAAATGTGTTCTAAAAATATCTTGTTTCATGCTGGCCACTGACAAAACCAGCTTCCTCTTGCATCCACTTGTGCACACTCACTTTCAGTCCCCGTAAGCAACCAGCACAAAGTCTTTCTCCTTCGGCTGTGCTGTCATGATGCTTTGGGATGTACATTTAGGATGCTCCATGGTTCCAGGGTAATCAAAGAGAGATCAAAAGAAACTTCTCTACTGATAGTGACACAAATTGAATCAAGCAGGTCCTTGGCCACCAGAAAGGTCATGTAAATGACCTGGTGCAGTGTGTGTCTGCCACAGTGATTAAACAGTTACTAAAATATCTGAAATAATTATGTAAATCTGACAGCAAATGCCAGCATGCTGGTGCTCAGTGGGCTGAGTATGCTTCAAGTGGTCCTCAAGAGACAGGGAAGGCAATGCTTATTGCACTGATTTATATCACATTTGTTCACACTCCCAAAATGAGCTAACCCTTGCATTTATATTGATTAACTGAAGAAAGGAAAAAGATGCATTATGATTTACCATGGCTTCTTTTTGCCTCAGTATTTCCATTTGTAAAGTGGGAATAGCAGTTGTGAGTCACCACTGCTCTCACACAAAAAGCACATGCACTGGTCTCTTTTACCTGATTTTCAGGAAAACAAACCTTAAACCAGTAGTGGATTGTTTTAATTACCTCTCTCCTCTTCTGCAAGCAGCTTTTGTTTAACCTTCCCTCACATGATCTGTTAATGAAGCCTAGCCTGTAACTTTTCAGTTTAAAAATAATTCCTCACATCATTCACAGTCTCTAACCTTATCATGGGAAATGCTTTCCAGCATGTCAGCTTGCCCTTTAGACACCACTGCTCCAAGAACAACAGGACACAGACAGATCTTTCCTTCGTGCTCTGTAACTGTTTACAACACCTTGCAGAAGCACAAACATTGCACTTAAGCAAGATTTACACCTCTCTGAACTTAATTACTGCTTGCATTTCAAAACAGAAATGTTGTATCATTATTTGTTTAAATCAAAATGTGATTTCAAACATTAAACAATATAAGAAGTACTCCCCAAAGCCTTCTTTGAATTCTGTTAAAATGTCTTCACTGCGATCTCTAGAGGAGAGATGGGCAGTAAAAAATTGATCTTGGTCAGAGAAACTTTACAACACAGACAAGATTTGAAACTTCAAACTTGTTACAATAAAATTCTAAATTAAGAGAGTCAGAAAATAGTAACTACTTTTGTGTAAAAATTGAAAAAAAGTATCCTTTTTAATATGGGGGGGGGAAATCAATGCCCTTTAAATTTTAGAGAAAACATCAGTATGAAAATAATTCTCTATTTATGAACTTCTACATCAGCAATTTAATATACTTTCTCACATGCTGCCACTATTCCCCCATGTTAGCTTCTAAAATCACAAGTCTCCCAAAACTCAGAAATGATTACCCACCAGAAATCAGAAGACACTGAGTAAAGAATGAGGAACTGATCAAACTGAGGTTTGACATTTTAAATACGTGAGCTATGCCATGGTCAAAGCTTCAAAGCTGACTTAAAATATGACTCGATATTTAGCCTCTCTGAACAAAATACAAGTTAAGGTTAAGGAAGAAGAAAGCAAATCAACTCATATTGCCACGCACACAAAAATAACCAGAAAACCTCACAGGAAAATCATACTGCTTTTGGGAAATTCTAACCCTAAAGCAGCGGTGATAGCAAACCACCCCCCCCACACACCCCACCCCACCACCTCCCCCGCCCCACCACCCTCTTCTTTCTTGCAAGGCAAGCAATTCCTTGCATCATTCCCCAACTCTTGTGATCAGGTAAGACATTGAGATGCAAACGAAGTCGCCTTTGCCTTGTGAGCCAGCAGAGAAGCTGGAATGCAGTTTCTTATCTGGCACTTGGGTGAGGAAATGATGATTCTGGGAGGTCATAAGACTGCTGAAAACAAAGAGGTGTTTCAAAAGGGTTGTGTCATTGCGTCCCAGCCATCTCCCAGGTCTTCAGAAAATTCACAGAATCCTATCTATGTTCCTTTGAAGCACACGTTGCTTCTTTTTCTAACCTAATAATGATGCAACTAACTTCATTATGGGTGCTATAGCCGAAGCACAGTTTGAATCTGATTTTTTACAAGAGAGAATCCAAAACAAAGATTCTTAAGTGGGTACTTATGAATGCTATTGATTCCAGAGGGATATTATAAACTCCAGACCCACCTCAGATCTTTGGTTGGGCAGAAAGGAAGCTTACTTTGCATGGAGCTTTAAGGAAGAAGAGAAACTCTTCATGCATTTTAGTAGCCTTTTTACCAGCCATATTCAAATCAAGTTACATAAAAAACTGGCACTAAAAATAACTATTAAAGTGAGCAGTATTTCTTAAGATGGCACAAGGATATCTGTTCTATAATTATCTACCCACATCCTCCTAGCTTTCTGAAATAGTCACTCTGGTATTGGAAACTTACTGTGCTTTTTTTCTATAAGAAGAATCTTTACCATAAAATAAAAGAAAAACATGATTATTTTTCTGAAACTTTCTATGACCTGATGTTTTGAAGTTTCTTTTTCCTAAACACAAGTATGACTCTGGTATTTCTTACACATAAATGTAAATCAGCACAGTGCTCTGCAATATGCCTGTACTTTTCTAAACTGGATCAATGTGGGACTGAACAGAAGTACCTATATGACAGGAATTTTGTTGGGTTGGTTTTGTTTTATTTTTTGGTGTGTGTGTGGTTTGGGTTTTTTTGTTATTTTTTTCTTTTTCTTTTCTTTTTTTTTTTTGCATTTGAGGGTAAATAACATTTTAAGATACACCTTGATTAAGATCATACTGCTGTAGAAGCCCGTTCCTTAATCACAGATTTAAGCCAGATGTGGTATAAATAAACATGTTCACAGTTACAGCTTTTAAAGTAAGCCAGTTCAACTTTTTTTTTTTTATTCCAGGAATAAAGATCCTGTATCTAGTCTTCATAGTAATGAAAAAAAAAATATGTTTGCCTAAATAAAATCTCCTTCCTTTGCTGTTGTGATAAATGGCATCCAAACCAACCACTTGTTTTTGCTTCAGAAATGATCATAGTACATGAGTTACCTTGAGATTGCTGGTCTGTGGGAGTTGCCCCTGCACACATTTGTGTCATGGTTAAGTGTGACCTTAGCTTATTCTGTTTACATTGCACAAATGTTTTTGATACACTGGCAGCCCATTGTAGCTTTGCAAGTCAATTACCATGACAAAGGAGCTTTGCTGTTCTGATTTCTGGGTCTTTTTCTGGCAGATAGAGGTTGCCCTTGGCCCTTTCCTCTGCACTACTTTTACCAGGAGAAGAAAAAAGAAAAAAATATTTCAAAGCACCAAACAAGTTCAGAAATCCTGGATTCAAATACATAGAGTGGCTCAAGAGGGGAAGGATTGTGCTGCACACCTGAGATGTGCAGTGGCAGCTGAGTTTCACGTTGATAAGATGCTTCACTGGAGATCCATGCTGAGACCACCCACCAAGCGCAGAGGCAACACACTGCTGTGCACATTCTTGGGAATATTGAGAAATGCATGGCCTCTGTCATCCGGTAACTTGTAGGACCAGACAGCTACAGGGAGGTTAGCAATCTTTAAGCTGTTGCAATGAAAACATGACCACTTATTAAAACGTGTTATTCCTGTGTCTTAGAAGTGTGGTATGCCTTTGGCAAAAGAGTTGGAGTTCTGCACAGATAGAGTTCCTCAAAAGCTGTTTTTTCAAAGCAATTTGGAAAGTTAAGTGCTGGGACAGGGGGATGTCTAGTAGCTGTGCTGTATGACTTTTTTACCTTGTCTGCAGTCACGAACAGTCTCTGCAGCATGGTTGGCAGTCTTCACATTGATGGCAATATAATCAGTTCCCAGAGAGGAAAAGTTTATCCAGGAGTTAGAGGTAGTCCTAGGCTAGCTTTCTATCACAGGTTTCTAAATGGCAGTCTTGTGATGACCAGGTTCTGACCACAGCTGTTGTGGTACAGATTTCCCCTGCATATGCCTATGTTTCTGCACCTGGGCTCCCAGGCTCCCTTCCAAAAATACCTGGAGAACTGGTATGTCCACACAACAGTCATGACTGAGTGCAAGCCAAAGTCAGTGTGCTGAAGGTGAAAGTATTCCTGTCTCCTCCAAGAATTTCAGCAAATTCTACCTACTATAATAAATAAACTTGTAGGCTGAAGTTATCTTCATAGTAAAAATGGTACCTGGCGGCTGTGTGTGTGTACGTGCACAAGAGTATTCATGAGGAGAGGTAACACACTGGTATCATATGCTTAGCTGACTACATGGTAACCTCGCCAAAGAGACAGGACCTCATACCATCCAGAAAAGCATCAGCTTCATGGATCTCAGGGTACATTACAGAGCAGCAGACATGTGATTTATGGTGCAAGACTCTGTAATTTTGACCTTACCTCCTGTCATGCTAGCTAAACATCTTGCCCTTTTAGGACAGAAGTCCTTGTCCATAGCTCATTGAGAACTTAATTGTAGCCTTTCAATGTTCAGTTGATAACAGATACAACTGCAGAAACAAAGCTAACCCAAATACGACTGGGAAGTCCCACTGCATGGAAAATACCAGCAAAGAGCTGTTAAAATAAAAACTTCTCAAATCCTATACAAATTAAAAAAAATAAATAAATAATAAAAACCTAAACAAAACCCACAAAACCCAAACAAACCAACCAACTAACAAACAAAAAAAACACCCACCAAAAAACCTAACTATGAATTAGCCAAATTATATGAAGTTCATCTAACTCTCCTAAGGTATTTACATGAGGACTGGTTAAGTAGTGAAAAGCTTCATGCTGGGAAGACACAAATGATAGTCTTACTCAATGCATGCATTTTCATTTTCCTAAGGAAATTGGCAGTTTTCCTTAGAAAAGGCTGGTCTTGAAACTGCTGGAAATACAAATGGTTGAATAGAAAGCACAAGGATATGTAGCTTACTTTTTCACACCTACATTCTAATTCTTCTAATGTGTGCCAGTGTTCAGTGCTGGTTGTTGCAGTGTATGTCACACTCTTCCTTGCTTCAGAAGATGTTTGCAGAGTCTCTGTATGGTCAGTCTGCTACTAGCCATATAACAACTCTGGGCAAAACAAGAACTTTCAGAAATTTCAGCCACAAAGACCATTAGAAATTTGATAACACAGCTTTGCAAAGCAAGTAAATATTAAAATGGGGTGCAAATAATCCCTAGCAATTGTAATGCACTCAGTGTACATTTGCTGCAGTGCTATTTTGAAGAAGTCCCCTCTACATTTTACATCCCTGCTCAAAGTGGTACGGCTGCACATGTATAAACGATCCTGATAAACCAGTCTTCAGTGTTAATATGCGAGCTTTCACCCAAGTAAGTAGTTCAGCTCTAAATTACCTTCTTTTCTTGGAGGCTTTCCAATGCTTGCTTATGACTACTCACTAATCAAGGAGATCCATTGTTGGCTGTATTTTTGTGGAATCGGTACACTAGTTCAATGTCAGGAGACTTACACAAATACTTTGCAAAGGCAAAACAACTCCTCCAACTTCTCTTCATATTTGAGATGGTCATATTTCATATTTCGTATTTGGCTTTGTAGGGTTTCCCTGAGCCAGAGACTGCTCCCAGGATAATTGGGGTAACGAAACATGTATAGCTCATTTTAACGACACATTGTCTTAAGACATCAAAAAAGGGAGAAGCGCACATCATATGATTTCTTCCTTTTTGCTGTTGCGCAAGTCTACAAACCTTGGTTTTTACCCTAAATACATGCTTTCAAGTCTGCGAGCTAAATACAGGCTTTACGAGAGCGTAAGGGGGAACCCTGCATAGCTCTTGCAGTTATTCCACTATGAGAGGCAAGTTCCCTGATAAAAATTCAAGTCTATCTAGTCCTAGCTTGATGTAGGCCAAGACACTGTGTATCTCTGCATCTCATGTGCTGCAACTCCCAGTGCTGTAGTACTTTCCAGTAGCCTGACACGACGCATATAGACACCAGCCACGCTGGTGGTAAAATGCCCAACTCTGACCAGACTCGGTGCAAGAGTATCTGCCTGCCTGGCCTCTGGCAGGACACTGGGACCCCCAGGGCCACAGACTATCTCTCCTGCACGGGTGCAGCCCCGCAGGCTGACCAGAGCAAGAGCCATCCTCAACTGGTCTGCAACCTGCGGTTTTGTCCTTTTCCTCCAGATTTTGTTTTTCGTTAGTCAAAGTTGCCACCCTGAAGTCCTCCCCAGGTTACACATATTCCAGCTGCCACTCTCTCCAGCCTGCCTGGACGCATCGTAAGTATTTAGACAAACACTGCACAATGTAACGGCTCCCTTCGCGGTGCGGGTTGCCCCACGGCAGCCCCACATCACCTCCAGCAGCTCCGGACACCCGTGCTCCGCGGCGGGGCAGCCTCCCTACCGTCCGAGCGGACAGGGAACGCCAGAAGCACCCTCGGCCGCAGCTTCGCCAGGCCACCGCCCAGGCCCCGGCGGAAGGCGCGGCCCAGCTGAACGAGGCCCGGAGCGACCGCCAATCGGAGCGGCGGGGCGG